TCCTTCAAATGTTGTGGGTGGTAGCTGGAGTATTGTAGGAGATTATTCCTGTCTGTAGGTTTAGTGTAAATATTGATATGTAACCTGCTATCCACCAGAAGTACCTGCGTGTCCAGAAATGGGACTGTCTCTTTGTCACAAGTCGTTGTGAATTTAAAGTTAGGGTCTAAGGTATTAAATTTATTAAAAAAACGTGTCCAATTGTGCCCTTGTACCACCCCAACAAACAATGACGTCATCTATAAATCTTTTCCATGTGAGACATTTATCAAACAGTGGAGAGGTATATATATACAGTTCCTCCAGTTTATCTCACAACAAAAATTCTTCTCTCACTGAGAAAAACCTATATAAATATTGTCTTGAAGTAACATGATAAATATGTTTGTTTATAACAAGATGTGCCTGTAATCAATGTAATATGTCCCCCCCTGTTCTGTCACACTATTGTTCTAGAGACCTTCTATTATGAATATCCCTTTAACGTTTACTGAGAGAGACACATAGGCAAAATTCACCTTGGAACAATAAATGGAAATTCCTTAAAGTTACTCTCTGAATGGATTGTCAGACAGATAGTTTAATTGTGAATACACCATAAGTCTTGTTCTTCTATATGTAAGATTTCTTAATCGATCGTTATGTTAAAATATGATTGATAGGCATTATGTATTACTAGTTTTGGGCGAGATGCAGAAGTTTTGACCAGATTAATAAAGTTATTTCAAATACAACCGTGTTTACACGGCAGCTAATGGTCGGCGCGGAACGCATGCGCAGTTGCGACAAGCCGCACACAACATGACGTCATAGGGGCGCGACCCGCGAGAGAAGGCGGGCGCGCCTAACAGGATATAAACACTGACCGCCATTTCTTCCCAGCAGGGCCATTGAAGGGACTGTTGGGTCCCGAGCGCACAGCCCGCCCATGCAACCAACCGACCTACCACAGGAACGACCCTGGACTTGATATACCATCAGGAACAACCACCTACTACCTGTAGGAGCTGGCATCAATTAACTACTACCAAGTGCAGGAGACGCAGGGACTTTTGTCCAGGAGCCTTACAGAGTTCAGTACTCATAGCCAAATCATCCACAGGGAGTGTTCCAGCTTAGCTCCTACTATGTATATGGGTGAGATCCATCTAATTATATTATGCCTATTACTGGCCCCCAGAGTGTGTACACACTAAGACTGTAAATACTTTTTTGACTCATTTTTTCATTTTCATTTTTTCATTTTTTTCACATTTTTTCACAGCAAGAAGTCTCACTTATATATAGGGGTCTCGGATACATAGTGCAACTGGGCAGTATTACTGACGGGGTCGGACATATTTAGGTTGCTTTACCACTATATGGTGTGTCATTGTCAATTTTATCAGTTGTGATAGTGATAGGATGATCTACGTCTATCAAACTAATCAGCATCTGCATAGCTTTTTTGATTATACAGATTATATTAACTTCTAACATTACTAAGTGTAAATAAGCAGTGTGTTAAGAATAACCACAGTGGTTATGGTGGAGTGTGGTGTTTATAACGAATTGTACTAAATATATTGGATACACTGATTAACTGTTTGTTACAAACTATTGGTTACTGTTATTGGATCATTACAACTCAGAAGCGAATGTTACTTATTGCTACATTTCACACAGAATTGGATTACAATATTGGGATTTGATACCTAGCTCCCAAACTACGGACCTGCTGGCTATTCGTGATACGAACGGCAGACCACCAGGATCTTGGCATGTGCCGCCACTTAACCCCGATCACCTCGGGAACAGCCGAACGGCCGACCACCCTACGAGCAGAGTGTGTCTCCACTTAACCACCCCGAGAGTTGTGGTCTGCGATTAACCGCAACCTAATTGACGACAGCCGGGAGTCCACGTTCTTCCCCATCATCCGATACTCTAACTACCTAACGGGTACCGAACAAAGGGCCACC